CCCAATTTGTCACAGACAAGCTGCCAGGAAGACGACGTTTCAACTTACGTTCAACATTTAAATGCCCTCTATTCAGATTTTAAATCTAGGTTTGAGGATATTTTGACTATGGTAATACCACCGTGGATAATTAATCCATATGGTGACATAGAAGAAACGAATGTCATAATACAAGAGAAACCGACTGAACTAAGTACAAACGAAGAACTTAAGGTTCAGTTTAAAAACGGATATCAGCAATTCTGGCTGCAAAACAACATACCCGTTACTTATCCCGTATTATGGAATATAGCGAGGAAAATACCTAGTGGAAAGGGGGTTCAGCGCTGTTACCAATCTCCTAACGAAAAAAAGAAACAGACTGGACATCATTAGCCGAGGATATTTAATCCTTACAAAATTGACGCCAAATGTTGATAATTTATTATTAAAGCATCAGGTTCATCCTTCTCACTAAAAATATTGACTTATTGCTTATGTTATTTTATTCTTAGTTTATTTTATGTTTATTTAATGCTACGTATATTTTACATAACAGATACATTTTATTTTGAGTAGTTTTAATTTAAATTCAATTAATAAATGTATAAATTAACATGTGTTTTTACTTTAAGTTTTTAACACTAAACTTCACTACAGTTAGAAATTTACAGGAAATCAATATCAGGTAAGTACCCAACACGGAAAAACATGGCAAGGGATCTACGACACAAAAAAGTTTGGGAACTCTGGTCTAACTAGACGCTGGCCTCCTCCTCTCACGATTGAGAGTCGAGAGGTCGTTATTCGTGAATTCCTATTCAAATTATTTTATTGCATGACTGTAGGTAGATTAACATAAAACCAGTTCTAATAATACCTCCTCCATACTAAGTCCTCCACAGCCTAAGGTGAAAATTATTATTTTTTCTAAATCAAATAAAATAATAAATTTTAATACACATATTAATTCAGATTGATAAATGATAACAATTGATAATAATGTAAAAGAATATTAAATACATAATAGAAAAATAATTATAATGAATAATGTTAAGTCAGTTAACCATTAAAAATTATTACGTTAAATAGTCATCAATATTTTTTTTAACATTTCTCAATTAATAAACATGGTATCTTTTTCTTAAATTGTAAAACATTTGAAACGTCCCTCGGTAATTTTATAACTACTTCAGCCAAAAAAATGTTTTTCGCATGAGGTAAGGAGAAGGAAGAGTCCGTAGTGGACTTTTTCAGTGCATGTTACGAAGTGGTACCTTTACCATTCAACATTGCAGGCTGTCAAAGTCCACTGCTGAATATGTCATAGTCAATAAAATAATGTCCTCCAGACCGAATTTCGGTCACGGCGGCCAGCTTCAACGGAGACTAGCCATCGGCGAAGGCGGGATTACAGTGCCCAAGTGTACGCGCAAGCACAGGTGCACTCTCTATTCCCTCACTCTCATAATCCGATGGGACGGTAAACCGACACGACCGGAGAGAGATCAGGCGCAGGGCCAACGGCTTTACGTGCATTCCGAGACACGGGGGTGAGACACCGCCAACTTCCTGACTCTGTGCAGCTACTGAGAATTTCTGGACGGAAAAATTCAATAATGGACTTTTGGCCGGACCGGGATTCGAACCAAGGATCTCATGATTAGCAGTCGCACTACTACAACCACTAGACCAACGAGGCAGAAGTCGCCGTAGTTAACACGCTTATCAAGCGGGTTAGCAAACGTATTTTTTTATTATTTTTGACTCGTTATTGCCGGCTATACATGTTGGCCGAGCGAAGGCGAGTACCAACGTATAGACACCCCATTGGTCTAGCCTCGCCATTACTCGTCGACGCTCGCCTAGCTGGCCGAGTGCACGCGAGCGCCAACGTGTATACGGTTCGTTTCGCGTGCCTTGCCATCACTCGGGATCGCTCGCTACGGCTCGTTCACTTCGGAACGGTGTCGGTTTTTCTGCACAAATCAAAGGCGCTCGCTTATGCTCGGCAAGTCGTGTCCACACTCCACATGTTGACGGCCATGTCAGGCGTCCGTCTCGGTGATATATTATTTAATTAAATTGCAACTTTAAAATCCTGTATAAAAAAAGTACTCTGTGTTTAAGTAAATTCGACAATGTCACACTGTACTAACGAGGACACCTTTAAGTTTTTGGAAATATACAAAAATGAACCCGTTATTTGGAACCCCAAAGACTTTACTACGGAGTACACTGATATAATAATTATATGCACTCATTAAATAAATTGCAGATGCGGCAATAATTTCTAAGTCGTCCATATCGTCCCAATTATCAATGACAACTAATTACGGCCAACATGTAGATAGCTCCACAAAAACTCGTGAACATTGGCCTTGGAATTGGTCTCTTTCGAACTTCACCAACGTGTAGACTGTAGCACTCGCCTTGTATCAATTTGCCTACGCTCGCGTTGGCTGAGGCTTGGCCAACGTGTATTGCCGGCGTATCAGAAAGATGCTTTACGACTTTACGACAACCGAGACGATACTGGGTAGTGGATATTTTTATACCGCCACTACACGGTTACTTCTTCTTCACGAAGTGTTTATATTCTCTAATTATTTTTCCTTCAGTCCTGCAGGATTTGTAATTGCAATAAGCAACGGTGGTGTTGGCAATAGAGATCGAGCTCTGTGGGCAGCTGTCTCTTGAACCTATACTTTTGTTTTAATATCTAGTTTTTTTTTATGGCTACCGTTCGATTAATTTTAAACTTTTAAGTCGTTATGTAGGTCTAGTAATCATCTCATCATAAAAGAAAGTCGCAGTTTCATGCGTTATAAATTAACAAAAACCAAGTGGTAATAGCGGAGATTACACTGCTGTGTTCATGTCTAGAGTAGTTAGTTGGTCTAGTGGTTGTAGTAGTGCGACTGCTGATCATGAGGTCCTGGGTTCGAATCCCGGGTCGGGTCAACAATATCAATTACTGAGTTTTTCCGTCAAGAAATTCTCAGTAGCTGCCCGGAGTCAGGAAGTTGACGGTATCTCACCCCCGTGCCTCGGAAAGCACGTAAAGCCGTTGGTTCTGCGCCTGATCTCCGGTCGTGTCGGTTTACCATCCCATCGGATTATGAGAGTGAGGGAATATAGAGTGCAGCTGTGCTTGCGCATACACTTGGGCACTATAATCCTGTCCTGCGCCGATGGCTAGCATGTATTGAGGCAGGCCGCCGTGGCCGAAATTCGGTCTGGAGGACATTATAGAGTGACAGTAAAATGTCAGGCTGTGAGGCATTCCATCTTAGTCATCAGAGGTGTAAATGAATCTGTGGCTTTTTTGTTTGAAATTTCTATCAGCTGGACTGAAAGTTCGTCTGGCCCTTCAGTTTTTAAAAAAAAAAGCTATATCCACTGAAAACTAAAAGCAGTCAATCTACTATTTAATGAGAGAAACTATTAATACTACTATAAATGTTTCATAACATTATGAAAAAAGGTATATGACATATCGTACAGTATGTAAAGATCGTCAAATTTAAAAACTACACGCACCTCCATTGTATATTGTTGTTATATTTTATCACTTTTATCGTAACAAATATTATTGCTGGAAACTACTAAAACACAATAGATAGAGCGCGCATATTAAGATTTTAGGATACCTTTTTTATAGGATAATGGTGACGAACGACCACACAGTTCCACCTGGTGGGAAGTGGTTGCTGTGACCTATAGACATCTACATCTATCGTCAATTAAGAACTAAAATGCAAATGCGTTGTCACCCGTGAGGACTAAGACGGAATGCCTCGTTTCAAGTAAAATGGGTCTCCGTTTCTCTACACTCACCATACGAAACACAGCAACGTTGAGCTGCTATTTTACGCTGGTATTCTGTGAGAGCGTGGTTCTTCCCCGGTCAAGCCGACCCATTCCTGCTACATAGCTCACTGCAGTTAACTGCACTGCAGCATAGCTCCTACCACGTTACACCTGATACGATAAATACGACAAAATCTACCAGAAATACAAGGGAGGCGAGTTCAGGTTTAAATTAGACAATCTCTACTACTTGTAGTGCAATAAAATTAACCTCCATATTAACCTCTTTTATTTTGTATACAAACTCAGGGCCGCCTGCTGCTCACTATTTATTACCGTTGAGCCATCATTATGCATTCTCAATGATAAAAGGACCATAGGATGAATTTTTACCCACAAGGAAAAAAATGTTTCGGTTACTCATGATAATTTGGTACTTACTCATCTTCTTCTTCTTATATAAAATTTGTAACGTAATTAACGCACACCCTCAAACACCCCAATATATGTTATAATCATAATAAATACACTGAATGTTTAGTTAAACATTTTTATGCACTGATTATTTATCAAATTAGTTATACTAATTCCGGGAGAATGTTGTGGTCACAGTACAAATCCACGAACGCAAAGACTTTAAAGTGCTTGAAATAAAGTTCATTTTTCATTATGAATACAAAAAAAAGCTAAAATTTGCCTTAAGTTACGGTCCATTTCAGTTTGTTTTGACTGTACAGATTTAAGATAAAAAATTACCTATATTAAAAATGATAGGAATCGATTCAATAAATGATTCTGAACAAACTACTTTCTCAAAGTGCGTTAATTATGTTACGTGTTGTATATATATAAAGATCAATTGTTGTCCGTTAACCTCCCTAAAACTCGAAAACGGCTCTAACGATTTTAATGAATTATTTGTGTATAATTTGAGTTGGTAAAACCCTGGATGGTTTATAAACTTAATTGGACGCGGTTGGTGGCGCTGTTGTCGAGGTACAGAAATCACCCGTGCGAAGCCGGGACGGATCGCTAGTTTATATTAAGAAACAAAGCAGAGTTCTATCTATTCAAGCAAGAGCAAATAATGATTTATTGGTACGGCTACAGACCGAGAATCGGGAGTAGTTTGTTACCACTTCAATAGTAAATATGTATTAACAATAAAACTCAACTTATAAATATAATTAAAGTTAATAAAAACTTACACATGGAAACGACATCTCGCACACGCAGGTATGAGATGGCCAGACGCATTACAGACGCCTTGTCCAGCTGTTCCACCTCTTCTTTTTTGGCGGGCAGCGCGGCGGTCAGTTCCGCGAAGATTTGCATCTCTTTTGTGCGTCGGCAGCGGGCCGCCACGCGGGACTTTTCCTTCCGCTTCTCATTATTCCTGGTGACAAAAAGTTATACGAATTGTAAATCTAGACAGATTTTTGATAGGGTTATAAATATAATGTCAAAGGATACGTCAACGGGCTATCAAAATTGCATTTTGCTGAAAATCTTGCAGAGAGATGATAGTTGTGTAGATTGATAACGATGCTGTTGCTACAATATTATTGTACCTTTGTAGAGTAGAGTAGAGTAGAGTAGAGTAGAGTAGAGAGAGAGAGAGAGAGAGAGAGAGAGAGAGAGAGAGAGAGTAGATATATGCAAAAATATTACTATGTATGCATATTAAAAGGATAATAATGTTTAGAGGTAGGAATATTTCATATTGTGTAAAATGTCATAAAATATTGTGCAATTAAGCTAGCTATGAATAAAGCCTTTATATACGTTTAAGTAATGCTTCGGAGCGGTTTCCATTCATCAGAAAGTTAATCACAGGTTTATCATGATGTACTCATAATATAAAACATTACTTAAATACTATAATAATTGTTTGAATACTAATAAAACTTTGTATAAACCAATGATCAAGTAATTAAAATTCTTATAAATCAATTAATAAGTGCAATTAATGAATGATATCGCGTACTAGCAAGAGTCGTTTTATGATTATATAAATATTTAAATCGGCTTTTAGTGGATTTATCATCGTTCTTTGACTACGAATATAGAGATTGCAACGTTTTAAAATCCAGATAATCGAAATAATCTCCGACTATCTTTTGATAAAACGAAGGTTATGTTGCCGAGAGAAAAACAGTTACATAGTTAAGAATGGATCTTGTTATGTCAAATAATCCCAATGATTAAATTTGGAAATTCTAATTCAAAACAATGTTTTTTTTTTATTCAAAAATAATAAATATTACAAATGATTAAATATTAAGTGTTATTGTAAATTTTAATTTCTGGCCTACAAAATGAACACACCTTTTAAACACGGCACAAAGTTTAAACCTGCCGTCTTCGACTTTAGGTGAGCCCGGTATACACATTGTTCTCAACACTCAACAGAGCATCACACAACACAAATATATTGAAAGCACTAACTTATTTAAACAATAATTCAATACACGCACGTAGCACCGGTCGATTGTATACCGAACGTCTAAGCGATATGTCGGCTTGCAATCACAAAAAGTTAATGCCATTAATTTGTCGTTAAGTTAACAACAGACTCTATATTTTATCGTTTGTTCTAAATAGCATATTTGTCAAGTGCGTCACAAATGTGATTTGAAATGACGGCTCTTGTATGTTTATCTGATCTAGCGCGGACACGGGCATCTTCCACACGTATTACTTACGAAGCGTAACACGGTATGTTCCCGAGGGGGTAAGCAGAGTCCAAAACGCAGCGGGCTACTCAACAAAAATATGGCTTTACTCGTAGATGGAAAATTGAGCAAGTGATAGGTAGTTCATTATCTAGCCCATCACAAACCCAATAATCAGCTAAATGATAGGCAGGTAACACTATTGGCACATTTTTTTAATTATACGTTCTACGTGGTAGAGCCATGCTGCAGATATATTGTGGTTGCAGCACGAATGGGTCGGCTCCACCATGGTAACACCACGCTCTCACAGAATACCAACGTAAAATAGCAGCTTAATGCTTCTGTGTTTCGTATGGTGAGTGTAGAGAACCGGATACCCTTTTTACTGGAAACGAGGCATTCCATCTTAGTCCTCAGGGGTGATAACGCATTCTGATTTTTAATTGAAGATAAATGTGGATGTCTATGGGCCGCAGCGTCCACTTACCATCAGGTGGACTGTGTGCTCATAAACTTTTTGCGAATGGGCTATTCCATGACGCCATCGTGACGCACAGCTACTTCCTAGACGTGACCGGACTGTAAAAGTTGTAATAGGAATATGCCTGCGTCACAGCTGTAGACTAAGAACGGCTAAATCGCGGTATAGAAGTGCTTGAACAACGCTTCATAATGTGTAACACACAAATTCGTCCTTGTCCTTCGTAGGATAATTTATTATAATAATAAAATATATATAATTATATATTTTATTTTACTGGCCATTTAGTTAATAATATAACTAATTATTAACTAAATGGCCACGGTTAAAGTCGGAAAATATTGTTATTTAATCTTTATGTTTAAGAGTTTTAAGTAGGAAGATGCCACTGCCCATCTCCTGATTTGTTTTTTCTCTCTGGCCTCTTACGACACCCACGGGATGGCATACGATCGCGGATATTCTTCTACCGCCACTACACGACATGTTGTGCAATTTGCGTCTATAATATAACATAATGGGTGCGTTCGGCAGAAAAAAGCGCTAGCAAGCGCTTGTAAGCAAAATGGCGATCGTAAGCGGTAAGCGCTGTCAAATCGTAAGTAGCTATTTTCCTCCAGGACACGATGTTAGTTTTAACCGGGGAATCTAACCTAATTTAAATATATGTTTGTAAAGTATTCATATTAAAAACTAACCAATCATGAGTTTTTAATAGCATGTATATGTTTATTCATGTCATTATATTACTTAAAACTAATATTGCACAAAACAACTTATAAACTCTACTTCAAAACAAACAAATTAAATAAGCAAAATGGCGGATTGTGTCAGCGCTACTGAAGTAGCAATCGTGTCCTGGCCGAAAACTATTTTAGCGCTTATAAGCGCTTGCTAGCGCTTTTTTCTGCCAAACGCACCCAATAATCTTGCACGGAAAATTGAAAATAAATTGAACCGTGTTGTGCTGAAATGATCCGACCCACAAATGGCATAAATTATGAACCACCGGCTGTTTTTTCAGATTATTTCTTCTATTTTCTTAAACATGACATACATAACATGATATCATTGACCTTCTGCCAAAAAATGTCTTTATCTTTCAAATCTGAAGAACTTTAATGTTTTTGTGGGTTGGTTGCTGCATTTCTGCCAAAAACGGTCCCATTACGAAATTGATAATAAGTAAGATTCAAATGTGTTTAGGAAGCCGGTTCAACAACATTATATTTATTTTAAATATGGAGGTCAACCATACAATTATAATTTTTTATAGATAGTTCATAAAAATAAGTTTATAAAAAACGTTTACATTTAAAAAATCAAAAACAAGTAGATACAATATTAACTCAACAGGTTGTGGATGTGTGACCCATCCGTGGGGGGCAATAAAATTAATTTCGACGTTGTAGATAAGGACGGCCGCGCCGTTGAATGCAACGCATTGAGGAAAAATTTATCGGACATCCCGCTTTCTGAACGTAACGTAAAAACAAGTCACGAACGACTTACGACTTTGATTCGCCGTCGCTCAGACGGCACAAGTTGTTATACGTCGAAGATCACGTAAATAAACCTGTTTTATTTGGACTAATAGCACGTGTTACGGTACACTTCTTTAGTAAATTGTAACAGAACATAACGTCATTGAAATTACGGCCCAAGTTTTTAATAACCCGATAAACATATCAACATTGTTTTATTTCTTTTTTACTGTTAATGTCATGTCAATGTTGAAGTATGGTTAAACACTTTACCTACCCGTGACTGCGGGTGCAAACGTAGGTAATTAAAATATGGTAAATTTTGTTGTGATCATCATCATCATTGAATGATAGAATTGTGAGACGTTATAATTAACGCCTCACAATTCTAATGCTGAACATAGGCCTAACCCAAGTAATGCCACAAAGCACGGTCGTGAGCCACCTGCATCCATAGACTTCCTGCATGTCTTAGAAAGTCATCATTCTATCTAGTGGGGGGAGGGGGGCTACACTTCGCTCACCGGTATTAGGCTGTCATTCGAGAACTTTTCTTCCCAATCAACTGTCGATTCTTCGAGCTATATGGCCGGCCCATTGCCACTTCTGCTTACAAATCCGTTGGGCTGTCGATTACTTTGGTTCTACTACGAATTTTGTTTTATTGGATGATTATTAAACAACAGTTATTGTTTATATGTTGAATTGGGGAAAGATTTAAAAAAAAAACTAAAAGTATCAGTACAAGTACTGTAGGTAGTCACCAATGAGCTTCTATCGAACGGCGAAGTTCGTAGTTTCCGACATAGATAAATACTTTTTCCTATCGTTGACACAGCTTCATCAAACATGGTTTTGGCGCCTTATACGCTTTACAGTCTTGAGTGTGTAACTCAGTTGAAAAAGAGTAGGAGCAAACAAAACTATAGCAAAGTAATGCCGAAAAGTCAATATTAAACAAATGGAACTTAAATAATATTAGCATACGTGAACACATTAAGTTGAAAGCGTGTAAAAATGGAATAAACTGCAAGTATAATATAATAGGGCTGTCACATCGTACATTTGTATACTTTCAATACTTAATAAAAACACATCATTACCAACAAATTTCCCATAAATTTTGGTCCAACCACATGACATTTAAGAAATATTGTAAAATTTATATTGGAAACAGATCCGTGATAGCTCTGAGTCAAAGCGCTCATACGTGGTAGAGGCATTAATATAGAGAATAGTTTTAAAAAAAAGGTTATGGACACACAGTCTATCTGATGGTAAGTGGATGTTGCAGCCCGTAGATCTCTTTTTGTTTATTAAAAATCAAATTGAAAATTCGGATGCGCTGTCACCGCCGAGTAAGAAGGGTCTCCGTTTCTTAACACTAACCATAAGAAACACAGCAGCATTAAGCTGCTATTTCACGTTGGTATTCTGTGAGATACCGACACATGCTACAACCATACTATAGCAGCCATGCTGGCTCTACCACGAGTAGATGTCTGTCTAAACTTTCGCCAACCAGATCGTTAGCGGTCTGCCTATCTCTCTTTTTTGCGTAGTCATGAAAAGGTAATGGGCAACAATAAATAAAATGTATCATTTTCATTAAAAAAAAAAACAGTTTAACAGTCGTTTTTTTTAATTTTATAAGAAAATGCACATTAAAATCAACTCGACGTTAGTAAATATTAATAATTTACTATATAAAAACTTTAGAACTCATTTCTACTAACGCTGAGACGAGGGTCGT